CGACGCCGTGGAGGTCGGCGTGGCCGGACGGGGCTGGGTCAAGGACGCGGCCGCAAGGCTGGCCCGATGCACTGGGCCCAGCTGCCGCATTTTCCCTTTCACCCTGTCTCAATATGAAAAGAGTTTCGGCCGCGTCCTGGCGCGCCTCGGCCTCTCTTCTTTGGGCGGATCGCCCCACTGGCTGCGCCGCTCTGGCCCGTCCAACGATCGTTTCAATAAGACTCTGGATCTCCTTGCCATTCAGAAGAGAGGCCGCTGGGCGGCCTTCAGATCTGTCACCAGATACGAGAAGTCAGCTGACCTGCTCAAACAGTTGTCTAAGATGAGCCGAGGTCAGCAGCAGAGCGCGAAGCGCGCGGCCTCTTCCTTACCTCGGGCCCTTTCGCGCTCGCTCCGCCAGTTGCGGAAGCCAGCGTCCTGCAAGTTCTTGCCGGCAGCCGCAGCTCCCAGACCCAGAAGGGGGTTCGGGGGCACGGGCGAGTGATCTCGCACCGCGGGCGCTCGAGGCGCCTCTTGAGTTTCCAGAGTTGCGAGTCTTGCGGATCGATCCAGCTGCATCCTTGACCTTTGAAGTCAGCGTCGCAGAGAGAGTCACTGTCGGCCGCGAGGCGGCCGCTCTTCTTGCACGAGAAAAGGAGAAGGCCCAGGGCTCTGGTAAAGCGGCTTCAGAGGGCTCCAGAATTGTAATGTTTAAGAAATGTGTTCTTGGCCCTCGTTCTCAGCGTACCGTTTATGTTCGCAGCACAGATGCGACCGTATCTGTTCTGGCTCAAGCTTATCCTGCCTGCGTCCCCTCCACCTCCCTTCTAATATTCTCTGAGTGAGTGATCTCGCACCGTGGGCGCTCGATGCGCCTCTTGAGTTTCCAGAGTTGCGAGGCTTGCGGATCGATCCAGCTGCATCCTTGACCTTTGAAGTCAGCGTCGCAGAGAGAGTCACTGTCGGCCGCGAGGCGGCCGCTCTTCATGCATGAGAAAAGAAAAGGCCCAGGGCTCTGGTACAGCGGCTTCAGAGGGCTCCAGAATACATGTGTGTTTTCATGTCGCGGGGGCCTCGCGGGCAGCCCTGGCGGGCGGGGCCAAGGAAGTGATGGGAGGAGGGGGGCGCCTTCTTGGTAATTCCTTCGAGATATCGGTATCTCGGTATCTCGGTATCTCGACCTCTGGACACAGTTTGCAAAATTGTGGACATCGGAAGGCAGTTGTGTCGGATAAAACGCTCCACTCGCGGCACGGAGATAGCGACATCTCGAGTCTCCGCGCAGCCCCGCCCTCGATGTCGAGATTTCGAGATATCGAGGTATCGTGTCCCCGCCAGGCCCCGCCCCCGATATCGAGATATCGAGATATCGAGTTCCCCCAGGACCCGCCCCCCGATATCGAGATATCGAGATATCGAGCCCCCGCCCCCCGATATCGAGATATCGAGATATCGAGTCCCCGCCCCCGATATCGAGATATCGAGACATCGAGATATCGAGATATCGAGTCCGAACGAAACAACCACCCTGGTTAATCGGGACTCCTGGCCCACCCTAGGGGCGTGCAGGAATGGGCGGGGAAATGACGATGGTGACTACGATGACGGTGACGAGTTTGATGATGATGATGATGATGATGATGATGATGATGGTGATGGTGATGATGATGATGCTGATGACGATGGTGATGACGATGATGATGATGTGATGGTGACGATGATGGTGATCATGAAGAAGAAGAAGAAGAGTACGATGCGACGATGATTGTGATGATGATGTTGCTGCTGCTGATGATGCCGCTGGTGATGATGCTGCTGATGATGCTGGTCATGATGATGATGGGAGGAGGGAGGAGGGGGAGGAGGTGGTGGAGGTGGGGGAGGAATGGGAACGCGGTGCGTTGTCTCTTCAAAACGAGGACCCAACACCACAGGATGGTTGGGGAAAACCTCGAGGGCGAGGGGCCGTCACGGAGGGGGTCGGTTGGTCCGGCCTCGGGGGAGGGGTCGGGCCTTCGAGAGGTATAAAACACAGCGTCGGAGGTACGCCATCACCCAGCTTGGCCAGGGCCATTCTGGGCACTGGCATGGCCATTCCTGGCCGAGCCCAGGAGGGTCTGTACACCATCCTGGGGCCCAGGATGGCCTTGGTCGGGCAAGGGGGAGTCGTTGATACATGCCTTCAGCGGATCCTCTTGCTCCTCGAGACAACGAGAAGTCCGCGCGGAGTTCTTGGGTCGATGTTGGATTTTTATTCCTGTACCTTTGGTGCACCCCCTGACGGCTCCGCTCCTGCGGCGCCCACCCTGGCCCGTTCCGCCCGCCAGGGAGGGGATGTTGGAAGGGGGAACGAGCGCAAAGCTCCGAGCATTTACGCGTAAGCATGGCGTGTTATTTCCACTGTTCCTTTATCCTCCGCAGGTAGCACCTGCTCACATTTACCACCCTGCCTGACCATCCTGGGCCCGGGCCTGGTGTACGGCAGGTTCGTATCGCGTCGACGTGGCGGTGACCCTGGCGCGGGCGTTCAAGGTTGAACGCTGCCAGCGGCCTGGAACCGGCCAACGTCGAACAATATGCGCTCTATCGGAGAGCCGCGACCGTTCAAGGTTGAACGAGTCACGCGGTGTCAGAAATTAATGCCGACGAGTCGCGACGTGAACCCGCCGTGTACGTACGCCCTCCCGGGTCCGCACACCATATTGGGACCCAGCATGGTTCTGGTCAGGAATGGCGATCGTCCATAGATACTCTCTACAGATCCTGCGTTTGGCTGCTTGAGCACGATCGGTGCTCCTGCTCATACAAGGGCTCATGTGCATAAGTACTGTTATGCGTATGCCTGCTTACGTGTACGTGCACATGAATATACATATAACGACATCTCTATATCTCTTCACTGATAGGCATGTTGTATCAAGATATGTGTATATGTGTGTATGCTCTGGCCTTGATGTTTGTGTATATCTGTATAAAGATATGTATATATTCCCTACCTAGGCTCTGCCTAGAAGGGTTCTTACTCTGTTAGCTAAAGGGGCCGGGCAATGCTAATCGCCCCGGGCGGTTCCCCCAGTCCCCGCCCCGCGGTTCCCCCAGTCCCCTGGGAGCTTTAGCCTTAGCTTTAGCTTTAGCTTAGCTTTAGCTTTAGCTTTAGCTTTAGCTTTAGCTTTAGCTCAGCTTTAGCTTAGTGTTAGCTTAGCTTTAGCTTAGATTTAGCTTAGTGTTAGCTTAGCTTTAGCTTAGCTTTAGCTTTAGCGTATCGATCAGCTTAGTGTTAGATTAGCTTTAGCTTAGTGTTAGCTTAGCTTTAGCTTAGCTTTAGCTTAGCTTTAGCTTAGCTTTAGCTTAGCTTTACCTTAGCTTTACCTTAGCTTCAGCTTTAGCTTTAGCTTAGCGTTAGCTTAGCTTTAGCTTAGCTTTAGCTTAGCTTTAGCTTAGCTGTAGCTTAGCTTTAGCTTAGCTTTAGCTTAGTGGTAGCTTAGCCTTAGCTTAGCTTTAGCTTAGCTTTAGCTTAGCGTTAGCTTAGCTTCAGCTTAGCTTTAGCTTAGCTTCAGCTTAGTGTTAGCTTAGCTTTAGCTTAGCTTTAGTTTTGCTTTAGCTTATCGATCAGCTTAGTGTTAGCTTAGCGTTAGCATAGTGTTAGCTTAGCTTTAGCTTAGCTGTAGCTTAGCTTTAGCTTCGCTTTAGCTCAGCTTTAGCTTAGCTTTAGCGTAGCTTTAGCTTAGCTTCAGCTGTAGCTTAGCTTTAGCTTAGCTTTAGCTTAGCTTTAGCTTAGATTTAGCTTAGCTTTAGCTTTATCTTAGCTTCAGCTTAGCTTTAGCTTAGCTTCAGCTTAGCTTTAGCTTAGCCTTAGCTTAGCTTTAGCTTAGCTGCCGCTTAGCTTCAGCTTAGCTTTAGTTTAGTTTTAGCTTTAGCTTTAGCTTAGCTGTATCTTAGCTTTAGCTTAGCTTTAGCTTTAGCTTTAGCTTTAGCTTTAGCTTAGCTTTAGCTTAGTGTTAGCTTAGCTTCAGCTTAGCTTCAGCTTAGCTTCAGCTTAGCTTCAGCTTAGCTTTAACTTAGTGTTAGCTTAGTCTTAGCTTAGCCTTAGCTTAGCTTTAGCTTAGCTTCAGCTTAGCTTTAGCTTAGCTTCAGCTTAGCTTTAGCTTAGCTTTAGCTTAGCTTTAGCTTAGCTTTACTGCTACTACTAATGCTGCTTTCCTAGGGGCTCCAACTCCTAGGTAGGGTCGCACTGGGATAATGTATACTCATGCGTCTTCTTCCTCTTTCCTATTCTCGCCGTACGCTGCGAATGTGCCCCCATCATCCGAAGCTCTTTGTGCGGAGGCTCCTCCTTGGAGATATTCTTGGGACCTCACAAAAGTTGTGAAAGGCTTCTTGGGGCTTTTTGGATGCCTCATGGGTTCCTTCTGGGGGCTTTGGGTGGCTTCCTTGGGCTACCCTGTTTCCAACCGCGGTCTCCCTGAACGACCGGGTCACGATATGGATTTGTTCGGGGGGCGTCGTGGGGCCACTTTAGGCCGTCATGGTGTTCTCTTCGGGCGCTCCTGGAGCCCTTGAAGGAATGCCTGGAAGCCCTTTGGAATAGTTTTGGAGCGATTTTCTGGCCGCCTGGGCGGTCTCGCTTTCTACTCCCTTGTCGAGAGATCATCGACACTATGGGCTCCAAGGGCGGGGGGTAAGGCTCCTCCAGCTGTGGCTGGGCTGTTGGCCTGTTTGCCCAGGTCACGGTCCACGTCGATCTGATTCGACATCAATTCTGGCCAGCTTGACCAAGTTCGATTCCGATACACCGACGACCCGATGCGGCCCGATGCTGCCCGTGGCTCGCGCGGCCGATCCTTCTCGACCCCGATCCCGCATCGCTGCGGCCCGATCCGATGCACGTCTTGCTTCGATCGCGCTTCGCGCGGCGCGGACTGGGCCCCTGAGCCAGAGAGCTGGCCTCCTCCAGAGGGCGGCGCGGGGGGCGCGCGAGGTGTGGTGGCCTGGGCTTCCCGATGCGGTGCTGCCCCGCCCAGGTGCTCGTCGCCCTCCCGCTACTGCTGCTCCCCGGCCTCGCGGCCGGTCGCCCCGGCGGTGCTCTCGCGGGCGCGGGGCCCGAGTGGACCCTGCGGTTCCCGGGCGGCGGGGCGGAGCAGGCAGAGGAGGTCCGGGTCAAGGCCCATTGCCTGAAGGAGATGGGCGCATGCGAGGTGATGAACTGCACGGCGGAAGGGGAGGGCCGCGGGGCCAAAATGGACCTGGCGTGGGCGGCGGACGTCGTGGGCAGCTAAGCCGCGCCGTCTCGCTTCCACTCCCACTGCCTCCTCCATGGGTCCTAGTCGGACTCTCGTCCTGAATCGCCCACCGTCACCCTCCTTCCAGTCCTCCTCCGTCCTTCCTCTCTCTTTTTCCCCAGCTCACGGAGCGACAGGGCTAGCCAGCTATACCCTGGACAGATCATCATCATCATTCCCTACATAGGCTCTGCCTAGAAGGGTTCTTACTCTCTTAGCTTAAAGGGGCCGGGCAGTGTAACACGCCCCGGGCGGTTCCCCCAGTCCCCTGGGAGCGGTTCCCCCAGTCCCCTGAAAGCTTTAGCTTTAGCTTTAGCTTAGCTGTAGCTTAGCTTCAGCTTAGCTTTAGCTTAGCTTTAGCTTAGCTTCAGCTTAGATTTAGCTTAGCTTTAGCTCAGCTTTAGCTTGGCTTTAGCTTAGCGGCACCTTAGCTTTAGCTTAGCTTTATCTTAGCTTTAGCTTTATATTTAGCTATAGCTTAGCTTTAGATTAGCTGTAGCTTAGCTTCAGCTTAGCTTCAGCTTAGCTTTAGCTTATCTTTAGCTTAGCTGTACCTTAGCTGTACCTTAGCTTTAGCTTAGCTTTAGCTTAGCTTTAGCTTGGCTTTAGCTTAGCTGCACCTTCGCTTTAGCTTTAGCTTTAGCTTAGCTTTAGCTCAGCTTCATCTTATATTTAGCTTAGCCTTTACCGTAGCTTTAGCTTAGCTTTGGCGTAGCCTTTACCGTAGTTTTAGCTTAGCTTTAGCTTAGCTTTAGCTTATCTGCACCTTAGCTTTAGCTCAGGTTTAGCTTAGCGGTAGCTTAGGCTTAGCTTAGCCTTAGCTTAGTTTTAGCTTAGCGTTAGCTTAGCTTCATCTTAGTTTTAGCTTACCTTGAGTTTAGCTTAGCTGAGCTTTAGCTTAGCTTTAGCTTAGCTTTAGTTTAGTTTTCAAGTAGCTTTAGCTCAGCTTTAGCTTTACTGTTCGTACTAATGCTGCTTTCCTAGGGGCTCCAACTCCTATGTAGGATCGCACTGGGATAATCATCATCATCATCATCATCAGCATCAGCATCATCATCATCATCATCATCATTATCATCATCATCATCATCATCATCATCATCATCATCATTCCCATTGGCATTATCATTATCACCCCCTCCTCCCTATTTCTGCAAACGTTTCTATATACTCGTCCACGCTATTCCTCCCGCATCATCGTCGCGTCCAATCGCGCTGCCCTCACAAGGAGAGACCCAAAAGCAGGTCTGCCTTGTGTCGTATTATGTGTTGGAGGTTTCCGCTTTTCCGCCGATGAGGATCACGATGATGAGTATGGTGGAGGAAGAGGAGGAGGCGGAAGAGGATGAAGACGGAGCAGGAGGAGGAGGAGCAGCAGCAAGAGGAGTAAGGTGGAGGATGGAGGATGAAGGAGGAGGAACGAGAAAAAATGCGCCCGCGATTGCGTTGGCATCGGTGGATCTGCTTCCTGATACGAAGGCATGCCTGGCAAGCTTCCTGAGTGTCCTCGGGCCGCAGTGCCCGCGAAGGACGAGGCGGCGCCAGCGGAGGATGCCGAGGGGCTGCAATGAGGCGAGCTTGCAAAGGCTGGCACCGTATGGCTAGCAGAGGCTGGCGTATGCAGCTGGCAGATGTTGGTCCTATTCAGCGGCGAGCCTACAGCTGGTGTTGGAGGGCTTGACGCGCGGGCGTCCTGGGCAACGTTTGCGGGCAACCGCGTGCCAGCGTCTGTCTTGAAGTCATAGGTCTGAGATAAATTCTAGACGCCGCACCAGCCCATCCGACAACGATGCCCAGGCGAGTTGTCAGGGATGTGAGGGCCATGCAGTGGAAAAAGGAGGTGTTGACACCGTCATACCCCACGAGGGGGAAGATGGAGGAATAATCGGATGAGGAGGAGGAGGGGGAGGGGAAGAGGGAACGGGGGACGGAAGAGGGAAGAGGAGGAATAGGCGGATGAAGAAGAGGAGGAGGAGAGGGAGGGAGGGAGGGAAGGAGGGAGGGAGGGCGACCAGAAAGGCCAGAGGCTTTTTGGATGACTCTCGGGGTCTCTCCGGATGTCTCTTGAGAGTTTCATGGGGTCCTCTTGGGCCGTCTTGGGGGTCTCTTGGCGGTCCTGGGGCTCTTGGGGCCTCTCGGGGGTCTCTTGAAGCCGAAGCCTCTTGGGGGCATCTCGGGGGCCTCCTGGGGCCTCCTGAGCGCTTCTTTGGGCACTCTGCGGGGCCTTGGGGGCCAGGGCCATCCTGGAGGAACTCGAACAAAGAAAGGGGGACCCTCAGTCCCACCAGCCTTCGAAACGTATGTTGTCCAACGATGTTGTCCTTTCTTCTTCCACAACCCTTCCTCCTCTCGGGGGCTGGTACAGCCATCACTCGCGCTCCTCTCGCTTGTTTCAGCTGCCCTGCAAGTCCCTTCCAACATAGGGTTGGCAGGGTTGGGGATGGACGCGGAGGGACTGAGTTAACTCCGCAGCCATATATCTGCTTAGAGGTAAAAGCGCGCGCCCGGCCTCCCTGTGTCTCGGCCCGCCAGCTTACACACAAACGCACACACACACACACACCTTATTATATCCGCGTAACGGACACTTGGGCATGGCCAAGGGCACGTCGTCAGTTCGCCGGGATTTCACCGCATCCCTGGGAAAATGCGCACGCAAAGATCATGTACCATAACTTTACGAACCGATTAACATGAAGAGGCTGTGGCTTAATATGACGATAGATTGGCAAAACAGTTGTTATCAGCCGAGAGCTCTTCCGCGGGACCTGGAGGCAGTGCCTCCCCGCGGGGAAGTCGATGTGTTCGGAGCCTTCGAACGAGGCCACGGCTCCAAAGGGGCGAGTCAGATCGTCTTCCTGTCCCCTGCGGCGTCGGGGGCCTCGACTTGCGCTCGTCACGCACAGGCGCGCGGTCCGAGGGAAGTCGCGACGGACGGTATCCCCTTTTTCCAGGGATGATATGCCTTATGCGATGCCGTCGGGCGCTGCGGGCGAAGCAGACGGCGGCGCAGCTCCCATGTCGACATCGTCCGACATCGGCGACCCAGTGACCTCGACCCCTCATTCGGCGCCCACTACGACCCCGCACTGCAATCCAGGGGGCATCCCGAGGCCAGCGGCCTCGGGGGTCGCCTAGGTCTGCGCGGGAGATTTCGTCGGACTCGGATTCCATGCGCGACGCGTGCTCGCGCCAGTCCCTCGCCGCCCTCAACGACGCGCCAGCGTCGCGCGCGCCCGCGGCCGAGCGGCCCAGGGATGCGATCGGTCTCTTGTTGAGCCCCCCCCATGGATAAAGCGGACTAGGTCAGTTGACGCGCAAAACGATTCGGGTGATCTTGGGCAAGGGGATGTCCCCGGGGGCAGCGCCCTCGGCCCGACGCCCCGCGCGTCGACCCGGCGGCGCCGGGGCGCGCGGGCAGGCCCGGGGCGGGCGAATCCCGAACTGCTGCGCTGAGGACGCGGTCCCCACGAGCTAGGGGCAGGGGATCCGAGAGGCGACGGCAGCCCTGGGCTGTGTCGGGAGCGTCGTCTGCGCCCGCTTTCGCAGCCCGCTCCAATGCGCGCAGTTATCGCATTAATGGCAACTTCTTCAACGCAGGGCCCGACTGCGCGGAGCATCCAGAACGTCGGCGCCCACTGGGCCGCGGGCAATGCGGGGTGGCCGTTTGCGAGGCTTGCTCCGAGAGCTGCTCGCATTGCAACCTGCTACGCTGGCGCCCTGAGCGCCGACCGCCCCCCCGCCCACAAATGCACCGCGCTTCGCCGCCCCGAATTGGAGGGGGCCCAGTGGAAGAAAGGCGAGGCTATGGCGGTGGAGCGAGGTCGAGAGATGGCGCAGATGAGGGAACACAATCTAGCGGCGGAGCTTCAACAGAGGGCCCCGGGCCGGAAATGATCGCAATGCGCGTCCATGCCGTTGAACGGGCCGAGGAAAGACAGCGCGCCATCGCCTCGGAACGCAGAGCGCAGACCAATGCGGAGCTACGGGGGATGGGCGATCGTTCCAGGGCTTCGACGATGGCCGAAAAGCGGGCCCAGGCTTTGGAAAACGACGTCGCCGGGAAGGCGGCGATTGGTATCCGGGGGGCCCGTCAGAGCCAAAGCGCTGCCGTCTCCGCGCTGGCCGATGTGCTCGAGGCCGCCGAGGCGCGCAACGTCGCCTTGGAATCCGACGCCGACGCTGAGTTTCAGGAGGCATTTTGCCGCGGCCATGGAATATGCCGAGGCGTCGATTCAGCGGTCCCAGAGCGAAGTCGGTGACGCTCGCCACAGGGGGCAGGCCATCGCCTTGGAGTCGAGTGCAATCTGCGCGCGGGCCAACGCCGAGGCCCACGTCGCCCTAGTGGAGACTCGAATGTTAGAGCAAGAAACAAACGACAGGTTGGGTTTGGCGCCCCGAAACTACGCCACGGTAGAGGGGGGGGCGAAGGAGGAAGGAATGCGGAGTTGCATCTTGATCCAGGGGTGCGCAAAGCATGCTTGAGCTCCAGCGAGGAGGCGCCCGGCGACTGCGTCGCCGGCGCCCCCCGGACAGCCGAACTCGACCTTTGCGGCGCCGCGCAGACCGCGGCCATTGCGCGACGCCGGCGGCCTGTTTAACGAAGAGGCGTCGAGGCTGCCACGAGAGGTCGCAGCGGCCATCCTCGAAGGGCCCGCCGCCGCCTGGGCCGCGTGCAAATGTTTGGAGAGGCGACCATTCAAGGGCGCCCGAAACGCGATGGGCCCCAGAAGCCCCCTCCAGTGGAAGCGCCGAGTCTGACGGCAAGACTGCGCAGACCATCTGGCGCCCGCCGCTTGGCGCCGAGGAGCTCCCGCGGCACGGGCGCCGGGGCCCTGGCGACGTTCTCTGGGGCGGCGAAGCGGGCGTCGCTGCGCCCGCAGTCCGCGCGGGCGGCGCGTCGCCCAAACTGGGCGCGCGTTGCCGCGGGCGTCGAGCAGGCGCCCCCGCGAGGCGTGACCTGCACCGAGATGTGGGATCATTGAAGCACCCCGCGAGGTGAACTCCACCCTGCCGCCCAGCAGCGCAGCCATCCCCAGGCGGGCGCCCAGCTGCGACGGCTCCGACGAGCAGACCGAGCGCCTGCGCTGCATCAAGCCGGGCGCGGGCTGCAAGGATG